CGCAGGAGCCCTTCCCAGGGCTGTTCTTACTCATCCAGCTGGGAAATTTTATAAAATCACTGTGTATGTCATATTAAAATTAACAAGATTTAGATTCATAAGACTTGTTAGAATAATTGGATTCCAGGCTCAGTTCTGTTGCTGATTTACTGTGTGGCATGGGTGATTTATTTCACTTTCTCTATTTGCAATCTTTAAGGAGAACTGATAAAAATACATAAGTATTTTTTCTGTACTATCTCTGAGCCAGGCATTCTTTCTTTTCATATGCTATACATTTTAGTATTTATAAAAAGTTTTTAAAACTAAGTCTTCATATTGGCATTTAATTGATGGGGAAGCTGAGACTCAAATACGTTAAGTGACACACCAAAAACCCTTCCTCAGATTCTTCCCGTCCATTTGCAACAAATAAAGTCCAGGCATTGGAATGTTACTTTCTCTACAATGTTTCTCTGAGACACCTGGGCTTGCTAGCTGCCACTAGCCCTGCAGCAACTGTGCAGAGCATGGTGCAATCCATCCATGGCATACTCCAACCTCAGTGTCTGTCCCCAGCTCTCCCCTTCCACCTAAACATACCCTGGACCTCTCACTTCACCGTCATTGAAGGCCATGTCACACCTTGCAGGCAGTTCTTAGACCAGAGTGCTGGGTTGTAACATGGTCTCCCGGGTAAGAAAGCACTTTTGTAATGTAATCTCTCTCACCTTGAATAGCTTGTAACCATCCAAAAGCAAAGATCTAATTCTCTTTCCTGCAAGTGGAAGGACATATCTTTAAAAAAAAAGAAAAAAAGAAAAAGAAAAAGCAGGGGTGGGTCAGTGGGGCAGGACATAACCCAGTGGTAGAGTGTGTGCTCGGCGTGCATGAGGTCCTGGGTTCAATCCTCTGAATTAAGGGAAAATAGTAAAATAAAATAAAATAAAATACTCTTTAAAAAAAGAAAAATACGTAAGACAAAGTATTCAAGAATTCCATTCATTTTCCTTCCTTCTTGTCTTACTCTCTACATTGCTTTAAAAACATAGATAAGAAATGTAAAAACGGAACATTAATAATATAAAATAAATATTGATTATTACTATATGTTTCTTACAAACAGAAAATAGGAAATTCAAGAGGTTGAGAAACTGGCTTAAATTCGCATAGCAGTGGTGAGGCCAGGACTCAAGTCTACCACACATTTCATTTATCTGAGTCTTTAAGTGGCTTCAAAGGCTTCCATGCCTCTAGAAGAGATGGGCTTAAGGAAATTC